ATTTGAGACAACATGTTGGTGTGTACCTTTGAGAGTTGAATTTGACAGCTAATGTATGAAGTCGTTCAAAAGACGCATAACGATCACTGATTTTTGTTTAGCAACGGTTGCGCTCAACTGCTGCGCCTTCTGAACCTACCTATTGATAACTTTTTTTTTTTTTTGATAACACTGCGACAGCTTAAATTGGTATTGAGTAAAACCAAATGCAAGATAGTTTTTGAATATCATTGATTTTTTTTAATAAATACTAAAATTAGAATGAATTGAATGGTGAAAGAAAAACTTTATGCGATTTTTTTAAATCGAAATTACATTTTTACATATGTACATATGTACATGCATACATAAATATATTTAATATGAAATTGAAACTTTCACATCAATTTGCTATCTTCAAACCCATGGTTTCAATTGTACGCATATCGTCAGGGTTTTCCCCACAACTTGGTTTTGCTGCAGTGANTTTTATTCAGATACCACAAATGCGCGATCCAGAAAATTCTTCTATCATTCTTGCCACAAATGTATGTTTTCTTCGAAAATACTCAAGTACTACCAGTAGAGTACTCTACTGTCAAATACCTTTTACTCGCAGTAGTTGCGGAAGGCAAAGTAAATACTCTACGCGTCTTGCTATTGATCGGTAGTTTACGTACGCTTGCAGAAACTGGTTTATGCTTACTCACACTTGCCCCGAACGATGAGAGTAAAGGAGGGAAAGTATTTGCGCGGCGATCGGATGTCTCGTTAGGCCCTTTAAATGGAATTGCGCAGGAATTTAGTCTGTACATATGTACATATATTCGAAGACACCAAGATTTTCAGGCAACCAGCATTACTGCCATACTGATGAAAAATGGCAACATTGTTGCAACTGCGCAACGATAATATGTTGCTAGAGATTCACACAGAACGTGATACTTTAATAATTCGCACAACACTGCGGTTGTGATTGCAACTCGAACAAGCCCATAAATTTTATATCTGCGTGATCGCTGAAAGCCACAACACCAGAAAAGCTTGGTGAGGATTTTAAAACTAAGTGTGGCTCAAGAAACCAATTTGCCGATTGCGCGTCATTTTAAGAACATGGTACCGTCCTATGGCTGAAAATGTTATATTTTGCATTTGGATATACATTTCCATCCATACAAAGCTCATGTCACAAAACAACTGAAGGCATCTGATTATTCAGTATCATGGATACGGTTCATTGCCACAGATTATTAGGTTAGGTTAAGTTGGGCGGCAGTCATGACTAGGAATGGTATCACACTACCACTGATGCGGCCTTTGAGATAGCCGTCTGAAAAACACTGCAGAAAGGCGGAAGCTAAACGATATGCCCAACTGTTCCGACACCGCACCACCAACTCTTTTTCGAGCTTTGATCCATACGTGTAGACATGGATTGATCCTCTTTTCCTGATTGTGACCATTCCTCCTCCAACAGAGGATTAGCAGGCGCATAATTTGCCGTAGAGGGGATGTCGTTCGGTCACTGAGAACATCCCGACATGGCCCCATTGGACTTTTTTAAGGGGCCACTCGGATGACCGTAATTATACGAATAAATACAGTATATTTTGCTTAGCTGCACATCCTTCTTTGCACGAAAAACTTGTGCACGTAACCGAAAAAGGCACTTAAGCGAATTTTCTT